GAAAATTATTTTGTCTTGTGCATTAAGATGCATCAAGTTGATCAACTTGCTCATGCCGTGCGGTAAATTCTGCAGGTCACATTCAAACAGATCCAGTACTCGCAAATTATAAAGATCACATAATGACTCCGGCAACCTCCTAATGTAACGGTTATAGGATATGTCAAGGTAGCGGAGGTGTATCAAGCCACCAATTTTCTCAGGCAACTCCCGCAAGCCACACCTCTGCAATATCAATAATCGAATGTTTTTTAATCTTTCAATCTGGACACCAGTCAACAAAGAGTCTGCCACTCTAAACCCATACATATAACTTCCATAATTGATCATGAGCGTCCGTAATTTCTCATAACAGGAGAACTTCATTAACTTAGTTCCATCGGTTAATGTTGCTGACAGATGACGAGTCGTATTAGGGATCTCTTTCGACTTATCATCATCGATCCTGCAAAACTCCCCCTCTGAAATAAACTGAGCAAGATCATGTATCAGGTCATGCATCACATATATCGATCGCCAAGGAGCTTCCTGAAAGAAAGACCTATTCACTAAGTCAAGGAAGTAGCGGCTTCCTGTATCCTCCATCGTCATATTGTTGTCTCGAGCAACGTAGCCTTCTGCCATCCAAAGCCGGACCAAGTCCTCTTTATCAAACCGATGATCTTTGGGGAACATGGCACAAAAAAGAAAGCACCGCTTAAGGTGTGAGGGAAGACATTGATAGCTCAATTGTAGGACTGGCAGGACAAGGACACCCTTTCCGTCATGCTGTATTTGCCAGATTTCACTTTCTGCGATGTTTCTCCAGTCCGTCTCATTCATCCTCTCCTTCAACAACCCGCCTACCATCCTTGCCGCAAGTGGCAACCCCTTCAACCTGCTAGCGATCTTCTTTGCTATGTCTTCTAGCTGTGGACATTCACCGGCGTATTCGGAACCAAATGCACATTTCTTGAACAATTTCCAATAGCTGGTTTCATCCAGACCATCGAGAGGGATCGGATTGCCAACCATTTCTGCAATCTTTCTAGAGCGAGTTGTAACCAAAATCTTGCTTCCTGGTACTCCGGACCTCAATGGTGCACAAAATCTTTCCCATTCCAGGCTGTCCTCGTTCCACACATCGTCGAGGACAAGCAGGAACCTTTTTGAGGTCAACTTCTCCTTAACAACCACTTGAAGTGTATTAAGGTTGCTGAGATCACACTTATTCTTGGTTATGGATTCTATGATCTCTTTGGTAAGCCTCTCCACGTTGAAGTTGTCGGATACACAGAGCCAGACCTTATGATGAAAATAGTCCTTCAGCCTCTCGTGGTTGTAGGCTTGCCGAGCAAGAGTAGTCTTTCCGACCCCGCCGATCCCAAAAATAGTCAAGGTAGAGATGCTACTGTTGCTGGATCCGGATCCATCGGCAGATTTCATCAACTGTTCCAGAAGGTGATTCAGCTGTTCGTCTCGTCCGAATACTTGAGTTTCTGTCGGAAAGGAAGTGGTGGTTCGAGGCACTACTGACGTTATCATCTGTTTGTCAGCAGCATCTAATTTACCAATGAAATGCTCGATCTCAGTAGTATATTTATCTAACTTACTCTGATTTTCCCTCACTCTATCCACATCATCTTCTCTACCGAAGAAGCGACCGACACGTTCATAAATGTTTCTTTTTATCCTCGGAGGGAGATCAGAAGAAAAAGATGATTGGTTACTTGCCTCATACCCCTGAGCTCCTTGTTGCTCGATCTGTTGCTTCAGAACCCGGAACTGGATCTCATCAAGCAAGTCGTCAGCGTCATAAACAGTGTCCTTCAGTTCCATCACCAATTCCTTCAATTGCTTTTTCGTGCCTTTATCTTTAATCCACATGTTCTCGACTCTGCCGATGATGCGCTCAGTCACCGAAAGAGTGTTCCTCAGCTCGTGGAGGTCAGCGACTCCGGGATCCTCCGAAACTCTTTCGATCAAACAGTCGGTGATCTTACGTATCAAGCCCCCGATGCAGGACGATCCGAACGATCCCAAGCCTGCTAGTATCCACGACCACATCGCAGTGCAGGGCTGATCCTTCTTTCTCCAAACACAAAGGGCGGAGGATTCTCAATGTAGAAGATATTTTCAGCTACAACGACTTCTCCTCAAGAAGCAGCCCTCATAAGTGCGGTTAGCAGCATCAATTATTGGAGGCTGCACGTGCTACGCACCAAACTTCTTCACTAGTCTGATCTAAGCCAATCCTCCACCACTTCGCTTTCTGGGAGTGTTTGTTTATTCCACCAGCTGTAGTTGGCCTTTCGACGACGCGAAAGCCAATCCCACCAATTTAGCCATCTCACCATCGAGAATTAGCTGCCTGATATGATGACAACTTTTGTCTCCTTGTGAAATCTGATGACAGTTGTTTTCCGGTCGTCGACATAAGAAATAGTTTTTATTTTTGAAATGAAACTCAACTTTAGGACAAGAAATATATAAATAAATAAATTTCTTAGATGGAAAGTCTTTTTATTATTATTTAAAAGTATGCAAATACTATGCTATATGAAAGAATTAAAATCCTAGCCAAACGTATTTGACAAGATTGTTTGAATTGAAAGATAAATTTTAATTGAATTAGTTTTGTGACTCAAATTTTACATATATTATTCAGTGTCGCTTAGTCTTTTGAACATTATCCCACAACATAAAATGATATTAATATTTTATAATTTAATTTTAGATAATTAATTTTATCATGCATTGCTTTTAAGCTTCAACAATAAACTTCGATGTCTTGGAATAGGAATATTCGATTTTGTCGATTTCTTGAATGATATCCTCTTACTCTTAGTTGTGTTCCTCTACTTGCTATTGTGTGTCGTGCTTTACTTCTTCGATGCCATGGAGGTGTTTGACAAAGAAGTTTATGTCCAAACATCTTCTACCAAAAAACTGAAACTTATTTTGGCATTTTGATTTCTTTTAATGCTTCTAATTATATAGCATCATTAACTCTTGATCACACGTCCAATCTTGCACATGCACTTTCTGGTAAAGAGAATGTAAATATCCTGTAATTGTTCTCGACACTAATAAAATAAATATATTTTCTGAAATCAATTGTTATGCCCATGTGATTGTTTTTTTTATAGTAAATCGTTCTTTTGTCATGCAGGTGAAACATTTGTTATGTGCTAAAAAAAAGTAATCTAAATGTACAATACTATTAAACGTACAATCCTCTTAAATAGTTCTTCAAATGATATCCAGAGCTACTCCTTTTATCCGAAAATTAAAAAAAAAAAAAGTATATGAGCAAAGAAAACATTGTAACTCTCATACAGACAAAATTTATCATAATTAAGTGTTTTTTAAAACATAAGAATTTTGTAAACATTCAATGCATGCGTTCTAAAATATACATAAATATCAATTTTTTATACACATATAATTTACAAAACTTAAACGTTATATGTATTTTAAATGCTAAATAAAATGCTTATCATACTTTTTCTTAAAAGCAACATATATTTACATATATTTTCACAATAAAAGTGTAATACAACTAAAATCATATATCAGATCATAAATCATTATAGTATAAAGAATTGCCATTAACTAGCCAAAAAATAAATAAATATAGTGAAATAAATTGTACCTTTCCCGTATTTAGTTTTATGTTCTTGGATAAAAATCTAGTTATTACCGAGTGGTCTCACAGACTAGGAAGGAAAACCATCCTTCATGTATCTCCGATTGGTCAACAGCCAAAAATCGACCCGAGCTCTTCATCTCGGCCAAGTGCTTTTGCAGCTTCTCCGTCAGCCTCGGATGGCAGCCTTCGAAATGTAGATTCCTGAGGTAGCGCCTGAATCTCCGGACATCCAATAATTGTTAGAAGACAAAGGGAAGGAAAGGCATGCAACTATTCCTCGGTCGGCAACCCCTTCTCAGGTAGCGCCTGAATCTCCGGACATCCAATAATTGTTAGAAGACAAAGGGAAGGAAAGGCATGCAACTCTATCGGTAGCGATTGTAGATTCTTGCAATCCTTGAATTCTAGCCATCTGAGAGCTGTGAGGCTTCACAACAACTGTTACTCCTCATCGGACATCGTCGCTCGAGGAAAGTTTGAGATTGTGAGAGCACGGACGGATGGAAGTATCCTTCTGAAGAAAGATAGTTTGAACAGGGCTGTGCCGTCGATGTATAATTCAGTTACCGACGAACCCTCCACTTGCTTGATCCCTTCATTCAGCAACAACTCGTCTTTTGATCTCAGCTCACCACATTTCCAAAATTTCAGATATTGAAGTCGTTTCAGGTGAAGCAGCGACGTTGCTGGAAGAGACTCTATGCACCGGCAGTCGCCTATTTCCAATCGAGTGAGTGAGGTCAAGTTGTGCAGGCAGCCCGGTAGTAATTTTCACATATTCCCACAGTCAAACAGCACTAGTTCCTCGATCGAGGGTGGGAGGGGGATGTCAATGTCCCCATCTCGCGTCATGCTCAAGAGCTTCGGGCAACTGCGGATTGACAACTTCTTAAGGGAGGTGAGTTCTTTAAACTCCTTCTCCGGCAGCAACACGAGTTCCGCACATTCCAAGATCGCAATGTCACCGATATTTGGGAAGCTGTGCGATAGCAACCCTTCTTCCAGATTTCTTAGATTTAGACATTGACTTATTTCCATTGATGAAAGAGAAGCAGTTATACAACTGTCGCCTCCATGGATTCCTTCCCGTAACCCTGCAACTTCTGTCAATCCGACTTTATCTAATCTTAATGTTTCAACTGGAGGGAGGGGTGGCAACCTCTTAAGCCTCAGGCATTCTACAATTTCAAGAATTCGCAAGCAGGGAAACAGCCGTCGACCATCGGCCCAAGACCACTCTTCCAATTCTGGCATGTCCCTGAACTTGAGCTTCTCCAAGCTAGGAAGACACTTGCCTTGGTCTCTAGAACCAAAGAATCCATAGCCCACCTTCTTCACTGCTGGCATTCTCTCGATGCGAAGAACCTTGAGACTCGGCAGTTGTCCAAGACTCGGGAGTTCCTCCAGTGCCATCATGTCCTTCAGCACTAGCCTTTCCAGATTAGGCAAGAACTTGCTCTCTGTACTTAATCTATGACTTATTTGTTTCACTGCAGGCATTCCCCCCACGTAAAGGTTCTTGAGATTCGGTAGCTGTCCAAGACAAGAAAGATCCTTCCATGCTTTGCAATTTTCCAAACCAAGAGTTATTGATAGAACGATATGCCATCAACATATCGTAGAAACTGGTCTCACACTTCTACATTAAGCCTCCATGCCACCAACTTTTTGGTCTACCGCCTTTCAAACTGCTGTCTACCTTATTAATCGTTTGCTCATTCCAGTTCTTCAATACCAGTCTCCATTTGAAAAACTATTTTCCAAATCCCCAAACATTCAAAAACTCAGAATATTTGGTTGTTTATGTTATCCGTGGCTATGTCCCTATGCCCCACACAAGTTAGCGTCAAGATCTAAAGCTTGCATCTTCATAGGATATTCTCTTGAGCATAATGCCTTTCGGTGCTACGAACCACAATCTCAAAAAGTTTTTATTTCCCGACATGTTGTTTTTGTTGAATCTGCCTTTCCATTTCAAAACTATGAATCTTCTACCGTTCATACCACTCCGACAAATATTCATTCCTGGGGTATACATTCGATCCCCTCAAACGAACCTCCTCCCACACCATCCAGTCCTATTGTTGAAGATCCACACTCTTTTATTCTCCCGGTTCAACAACTCTCCACTCCCCCCATTCCTTCTCCCCTTCCTTCTTCACAAGTCTCCCCTACCACTGAAGTCGGATCCTCAGAAACACAACAACTTTCTTTACCTAGTGTCATCGATGTATCTCAACCTCTCTTGCATCCTATCGATGCCTCTCCACCACTCTTACCAATAACACAACCTGCTGTTCCTAGTCATCCAATGACAACACGCTCAAAAAGTGGTATCTTTAAACCACGTCAGGTTCTCAACCTACATACTATCACCAATTCTTCTCTTGAGACCAGTGAACCCACCACAATTACTCAAGCACAAAAATCTTCACATTGGCGTCAAGCTATGTGTGAAGAATATGATGCTCTTCTACATAACTCCACATGGACTCTTGTACCTTCTCATCCTACACAAAACATCATCGGGTGTAAATGAGTATTCCGAATTAAGCGGAACCCCGACGGGTCCGTTGCTCGATATAAAGCACGATTAGTAGCCAAAGGGTTTCATCAACGACCTGGAGTTGATTTCACAGAGACTTTTAGTCCTGTAGTTAAACCCACAACAATTCGGCTTATTCTAAGTTTGGCCATCTCTAGAGGTTGGAACTTACGACAACTGGACGTTAACAATGTCTTTTTACAAGGGACTCTAACTGAAGATGTCTTTATGCAGCAACCTCCTGGCTTTGTTCATCACCAGTATCCGAGACATGTTTGCAAATTACAAAAAGCCATTTATGGCCTCCGTCAAGCTCCCAGAGCTTGGTATACTGAACTTGGATCGTTTCTGATATCAATTGGCTTCATCAACTCCAAGTCTGACACATCTTTATTCCTCCGACAACATCATGGCAATACAATATATCTTCTAGTTTATGTAGATGATATTATTGTTACAGGCAATGATCCCTTGGAGGTTCAGACATTTTTAAATCAATTGGCTGATCGATTCTCCCTCAAAGACTTAGGACCATTGAGCTACTTTCTGGGCATGGAAGCAACATTTACATCCTCCGGTCTCTTCCTCTCTCAAAGAAAGTATATTCAAGATTTATTATCAAAGACAAATATGCAGGATGCGAAAGTAGTTGCTACTCCTCTTTCTACTAGTGAATCACTCAAATTATGTGATGACAGCCCTACCACGGACTCCACTCAATACCGGCAAGTACTTGGCTCCTTACAATACTTGGCTCTCACCCGTCCAGATATCTCATCTGCAGTCAATAAATTGTCTCAATACATGCACCAACCTTCTGCTATACATTGGTCTGCGGTTAAACGAATTTTGCAGTATCTTAAAGGGACCCTTAATCATGGTCTCTTTCTCCGCAAAACCACTCAACTTCATCTCCATGCCTTTGCTGATGCTGATTGGGCGGGAAA